ATAATAAGGTGTATTAAACAGCAGTTTGAACATGAGTCTGTTGTAAGCAGATTGGTATGAATACAGCAGCTTAAAGGCAAGAAATCAGCAGCATGGTTAAGCAGCAGCTGCTGATAATCTAAACCTTGGGTATAACAAGGTGGTGGGTGATATGCAAGCCTTTAAGGGATGCTGGATCTTAAAACTTTCTCATAAATGCAGCAATTTATTCATTGCATATTCTGAGCAGACCATTGTATTCAGTTTACGCACTTTTATTGTCATTATTGATGTTAGATTACTGCCAAACACTTTATGGTTAATGATTTAAACAAAATCATGGTTTCGGGGAAAAGTAAGAGTATTTTAAAAACTCTTTTTTTTTCCCCATTTACCCTTTATTTATACAGGTAGTCTCATTGAGTCACGAGAACTCTGATTAAAGAGAGACCTGTATTTGAAAGCAGATGGTGGGGGTTAAGGGCCTTGCTCAGGCACCCAGAGTGGGGCAAATGAGGGTGGAGGCAGGTGTGGGTGTTTCACCTTTTCCACCCACATTTTGATGTCGACGGTACTGGGAGTTGAACCTACGACTTTCCGATCACAAGCCCATTTTCTCTGCACCACCACTCCCCCTAAATACTGTGTGTAAATACTCTCATTTACGTATAAATACCATAAATATGTACACATAAACACATAAATATGCTATTTACACATTACATAACATATAATGTATATAAATAATGTGTTTTTTAAGTACAAAGAAAAATTCTTATTTTTTAATTATTTAATTTATTGTCATTTTTATTGACATTGGGAAAGGTCCGTCAGTCATTTTTTCAGAGAGCTCGTAACCTTGAGTGCTGCAGATTGTGTAAGCGTTTTTATACAAAGTGAATTAATCTTCTGACTTTGTAGCCAGCATAAATGGCGTGCAACCCAACTGACGTAAAGGTTCATGTGGATGTCTCCAGAGACAAGTCTCAAATAAAAACAAAACATTGTGAAACTTTTTCACAATGGCACGTTATTTTACAGTTACAGCAGAGTACTGAAGCTCAGAGAGCCTCAAATCCTCCAGCTCAAGGAGTGCATGAATTATTGCTCCATTTACATTTTTCTCAAAATTTATTCTGCACACAAGAAACCTAACTCTGCACAAGAAATCTCAAAGCGTCTTTGTTTTACAGATTTATTTTTAAACTTTCTTCATCTTCCGGCTCTGATTAAATATGATTTTACACTGCACTGAAAACAAGAAACTCAAGAATAGCAGAATGTTTGTGGCCAGTGAGGCTGGGAAAACTGATGTGGTTTCAGTTTTCATTTATTCACCCTTTTTGTATTCTGGTTCCTACAACTTAAGTTATGCTTCTGTGAAGATATTTACCTGTATGAGCATCTGTAGACACATTGTGAGTTTTTCGTACAAGCCCTGAGCTCTGCTAAAGACAGGTATTCTGGTCGGAGGGGGAAAAAAAGGGCAACTTTTGGCAGAACACCCACATCTTATAAACTCAAGTACCGGCTCTTTCTTTCCCTGGGCTGCTAACAGCATACGCTCTGATTTTTGTGACCCATAAACTTAAACACTATAAATCTCTCTTCAGTTCCTCAAAGGAGCCATTTATTTGAAGGTTGTGATCAATTTATGCCCAGGCATAACACATTTTGAAACATTTGTGGCTCTCTGTGGTGCTGCTGTGCACTATTTGTCCTTGGTCATCTACTCATACCTCCTGATCATCACCCAGTCACTTTCTTGTTGATACAGTTGGATTTTACGTGATGTTTATGTAGCAGCATGGTTCCACCTGCTTCACTGAACTTCTGTCCCTCAACCTTCACTTTCAAAAATCTAATGGAATCGTCCAACATTTTTCAATCAGGTCATCTGGACAGTTTTGGTTTTTTTTTTGGGGGGGGGGGGGGGGGGGGGGTTGTGCTGAAACGTTTTGCCTTCGGTCCGTAAGGCTTCATCAGTCAAGGAAATACACAATAAAACTGATTTTTCCCCCAACAGCTTACTCCAAAGTGGAACAAACCAGTTCTGCTTGTGATAAGATGGTCTCTTTGGTACGCCCCCTCCTCCATTGTCGGCCCTCTTCCTTGTTGACAGTCTTGTCAAACTGGTTGAAAACAACAAAGTCCACTGTCCAAAAACTGTCCAGATGACCTGACTGAAAAATGTTGGATTGTATACCTGGATTATTGAGCATGGACTTAGTTCTAATGGAATATTAGTTCTCCTTCTCCACCATAATCCTCAGCACTGGTTCCCCTCAGGGCTGTGTGATGAGTCCCCTCCTGTTCACTCTGCTCACATATGACTGCACACCTACCCATCTAGGCTGCCATATTGCAAAGTTTGCAGATGATACAGCAGTGGCTGGATGCATCACAAACAATGATGAGTCCAGCTACAGGAAGAAAGTGGAACACCTGGAGAGCTGGTGCAAGAAGAATAACCTTCACATCATTGTGAAGAAGACGAAGGAAAGGGTCGTGGACTTCAGAAGGATCAAACACACCTACCCCCGCTGAACATGGGAGAATCTGTGGTGGAAGTGGTCTCCAGTTACAAGTACTTGGGTGTGCACTTGAATGACAATCTCAGCTGAGACAACAACACCACCAGCCTAATCAAGAAAGCTCATCAGAGACTCTACTTCCTTGGGCGGTTGAGGCGAGCTGGATTGGGAAGTTCAGTCCTCTCCTCCTTCTACAGGTGTGCAATGGAGAGCATCCTGTGCTCCAGCATCAACATGTGGCATGGAGGCTGCACAGCTGCAGAAAGAAAAGCTTTGCAGGGAGTGGTGAAGGCTGCACAGAAAACTGTTGGAGTCAGTCTCCCCACCATCACAGACATCTACACCTCCAGATGCAGGAAGAGGGCCACCTGCATCATGAAGGACCCCACTCACCCAGCACACACACTTTTTGCCCCACTCCCCTCAGGCAAAAGGTTGAGGAGCATTAAGTGTAGAACCACTAGACTGAGGAGCAGCTTCTACCCTGAAGGTGTTAGGCTCATGAATCTCTAACCAGGATAATCACTGTAATGCCACTTTACTTGGTGATAAATTACATCTGTGCTGCTGATTATCCATGCTGATGATCTCATGCGGCTGGCTATCTAATGCTGCTGTATTCATACCCATCAACTCACCACTGACTCATGTTTGGGCTGTTGTTTAAGACACCATTTTATTTTACATTATTAGTGTTTAGCGTATATATCAGATCTTTTCGTGTATCATTTAGTGTTTGTTTAGCGCACATCTTAGTGAATATCTTAGATCCTTATACTGTATATTTTTTCTTTTATACTTTATATTTTTGCTATTTTTGGGTGTAACTGGGACCCTGAGTACACAATTTCACTCCACCTCATGTACCACATGTGATATGAATGACAATAAACAACCTTGAACTCGAACTTGAATAGTTCAGTGAAAAGGTTGTGTTGTCATGCGTGGTTTGTAAATCTCGACTAAACTGGGTGCTATCTTCATTCGTGAACATAAAAATGTGCAAATGTCTGGATACATTTTAAAAATGTCCCAGTATTCCCAGTGACCTCTAGGTGTCAGAATCCCATCACCTGAGAGCCCCACATGTAACTGATCAGACCCTTCTTCCTCAGGAGAGGTCATCTCAGATTGTTGAGAAATTCACGGTTCTGTAATGCGCGAATCATCTCATTTCCTTATTGGTAAATTTGTTTTACCTCTCACCGGGATGAGCAATAATTTATATGATAATATAAAAGACTCATAATGCAAATGTCACTTACATTATGGTATCAATGTTATATTGTTTGAAATTCCAGAGAGTTAAATGATCAAGATTTCTATATTGCAATACTTCTTCCGTATCGTCAGGAAATTATTCCTCATTCATGGATGGTGCCAAACATTGTCCCCATCAGAAGCGATGGAAAAACTGATGACAGAGACTGCAGCCAAATCACCAGTCTGGCCAGACTGCTACCTGAACGCTTCCAATAGAGATATATCAGAGTATGGGCGTGTTTCAACGAACTGACAGCATGTGGTTTCAAGTGACTGATATCCTCACAGGTATCGTTTGCAATCTGCAGATGGCTGTGTGTGCAAGTGTATGAGCGTGTATGTCTGAGTGCGTGAGTGTGCATGTGGGCATACTTGTGTGTATAATTATGGATCCCCCAGTGCAAAGTGAGAAACATTTTACTTTGCAGCAGCCATCTGCTGAAACAGACCTTCACCATTCATCTGAGTATAATTACCATGCAGGAGAGAATGGAGCAGAAAAATGACATTCAGGAATATTAAAAAGAAAAGTGAGACAGAGAGAAGGGAGGGAGGGGAGGTGGGGGAGGGCTTTGGATCCCATCAGCCTTGGAAATCCTTAACTGACACTACTTTTCATTGCAGAACAGACAGGAGTAGTTGATCAAAACTAACACTGTGAGACAGACAGAGGAAATTTACTTGACTTCCACAATAAACTGTTCAGTTGGAAGGAAGTAAGTTAGTTTGGCAAGTCTGACACATTGAGTTAATTCCCCCTAATAGTCTGCTTCTTTGGATATTAGCTTGTGATACAAATAATACCCAGTAATTTGTTCTTGCTAACTGTCAAACCATTTAATGAATACTGTTAACACAGCTTCAAGTTTTCCATGACATCAATAGTTCTTTTTTTTTCCAAAGTGAGTTGAATGTAATTTAACTTAAATGCTTCATTTAGATTTTAAAAAGGGACACATTAATACTAGCATTTTTCATGTTCACAAATGCACAACAGTCTGAATTATATACACATTCTATAACTTAAACCAAAATTAGAGTTAATAAAAAGTTAATTATCTCATAAATATCAATGCTCTTATTTTTAACTAGATCATTTTCTTCCTCTTACAGACTCGTGTGTTTCAGGGTTTTAATCTTACATTGGCTAAAGGTTGAGATAAACTTTAGTAAAATAAAAAAGAGCCTCCTCAGGTGAGAATAACCACAAATTCTCAAACTCACCCTTATAGGAGAGTTTTAGTCGGGGGACATTGTTCTTGGTCTGTTGGGGTCCACTGCTGCCCTCCGTCCAGAGCAGAGCTACTCCACACAGCAGCAAAATGCTGCCCCAAGGAAAGCCCATGGTCCTGGGGCAAACAAGTCCAGATGAGTCCTTTAATTATTCTACTCTATTTATAGACAACCTCAGGTCTGGTTTACCCAGGGGGAAAAAAGGGTGGTTAAAAACAATTGTCCTGATGTCCAGTATTTATGGAAAAATGCTGGTGGGTCAGTCCAGGCTGGCTTACTTTTGATCCTGCCAGATCAAAAACTGGTTCCTGTTCCACAGGTCAAAACTAGAGTCCAGCACAAGACGAGACAGATCCTGCAAAGCAGCGTTGAGGATTTCTGGAGCAATTTTAGACCCTCTTGTTTAATAGCAAACGTCTCTAAAGTGTCTATAAAAAAAATCAAAGCAATCATGAATTAGAGTTTGTCACCACAATAAGAAGATCTGGGCATGTCTTCTGGCACCTGAGCTGCATGCAGCTTTAAACAACTATCCACAAATTGCACCTATAGCCATCAAAAGCAAAACTGCTCCAGATTGTTTCTGCTGTTCAACCCGTTTGCTTGGTAAGCGCAATCCTCTCTGGCTCTGATCTGCTCAACACTCATCTGAACTCGTTCAGCTCAGCCCTGCTCTGTTGTCTCAGTACAACTGAGAACAGCTGAGGCTAACAGCGCAGTCAGACTGAGCTGATGGTAGAGAGAGAGAGAGGGGGAGAGAGAGAGCGAGGGAGAGAAAGATTGAGAAATACGACTTGTGTGGTGTAGGTGGGAGGAGAGTGAAAGCAGCAAAACCAGCATGAGGAAGAAAAACTGCGAGTTGTGGTGGAAGGGCAAGGCAAGAGGTTAGAGTAGGTGTTAAAAAAGATCTACTGGGATAATTTTATGAAACTGTGAGTCTGTTTAAATTGGATTTTGTTTTCAGTTCCTTTAATATTTGCTATAGTTTCTTTTTTAACTGAATAACTTTAGTAGATTCTACTCTGTTTAAAACAAATAAAGCTCTTCACATATAGTAAAAGTGAAAAAAAAGTAAGATTTTATGAACAATTATTTGAAATAATTCATGTCCATATTATTATTCATATTTATTTCATTATTTTATTCAGTTACCATAATTATTGTTTAATTGTGGGAAGCCTTTGCATCATAAAAAGTGTTGTTGTTTTTTTTTAAAAAGGGTGTTAGACTCCAGAAAATGTTACACGTTGGACATACCAAAATATCTGTTGTTTGTTGCTTGTTCATTTTATTTGCAGATAAAATCATCTTATTGTGGGGTTGTCTGTGTTGTTCATTTCCTGTCACACCTGTTCTGAATCCCAGTCACTCCAGATGTTTCTCACTCTGTCTCAGTAGTCCTGTAAAAAGTCTTTGTCTTTTCACTCCTTTGTTATTCTTCTTAGGTTTCATGTTTCTGTGTCTGCTCTGCTTGTCTTCTCCTTCAACATAAGTTTTTGCTGCCCCATCAGCACTTTGTTTCTGTTGTTGTAAAAATAAAATAAGTTTTACTCCTGAGTTCTCCTGCCTGTTGGTGGGTTCACCATTAACACAGAATCATGTCACTTACTGGTCAAATGGTGACTATAAATCAACATTTTCAATGGTAATAAATAGGGAAGCATGATATTGGATTTTTGGCTGATATCCAATATTCCAATATGTTAAAACTTATTTGTCCGATAACCGATACAAATTCCGATATTTTTTCCCCTAGACCTGCTTATAGAGACTACAAAGCTTTCTCTGTTGTGAAATTACAATACTACATTATTCTACATGGCAATTTGGCCTGCTACCAAATGCAGATGCCAAAAAGGGGTCTGAAAATGCTGTAACACCAACTTGGATTATGTTTAATGTCAAATGTATTCATGACTTTTACTCTCTCTAGCACAATGACAACACTCTAACAGTGCAAATTTATAAATTTTCATAAATATAAATTCATCCTGTTCACAAGCAACAAGCGAAAAGCACATAAATTGTAGTGCATTAATAGATATACTTGACAGGAATGGTGGTTGTTGAGATGGTTATTTAGGTTCGAAGTGTTATAGGACTTTGTTTTCCCTCCTCCTTGCATCACTGACGCTGAGCAGTCATTGCGAATAACGATTCTGCTATCAGTTTCTGACATGTCAAAAAACATCCATACATCAACATTTTCACTTCTTCCTCTCCCGCCATGATCAGATCAGGTGGGCGCGTGGGACGTCATAACGTTATACTGGTGCTGCAGTCATCCTTGTCACTGGGTTGTCATACAAAAACAG